AATTACAGTTAGTGCATGCTTCTTTTTATTGATGTTAACATAGGAAGGTCAGTTTTACATAAGTTGTTGAGCTGCAAAGATTATTAGTTTAATCTTTTGATAGATATTGTGCGAGTTTTCCTCATGGAATGATTCCTCGATAGTGAATAGATAAGGGGTTGCTTCATTTAAGGTGTTTTCGAAATCTGAATGCATATGATTTGATTTAGCTGGAGTTCCCTTATAGTTTGATCGATATCTTGAGCATCTCTAACCGAGATATGCTTTGTAAGGAAGTGAAAAAGGCACTTGTCGAAAAAGAGTCTGCTTGATTTGAGTATTGCCCTTCCCTTATAGTTTGATTGATATCTTGAACATCTCGAGATATGCCTTATGAGGTAGCGAAAAAGGCACTCTTTGGAAACGAGTCTACTCCATTTAGGTATTACTGAACAAAACCGGAATGCTTAATGGCCATTCTGTTATGTTTGAAAAGAGCCCCGCTTCAAAGAAAACGAGTTGCAGCTCTATTAGTACAGTAGTTTCTGATTTGGTGAGAGCTAGTTAGAGACATGATTTATTATGGTAAAGTTTTTGCATTTTACATCACATTACAGACTTACAGTCATCTGTTTTATTGTATTTTTGTATCCCTGTGAGATTTGGGCATTTGTCTACTCTGTAGTTGGGAACATTGTAGGGGAAAAAGGGAATTCGTTTCACAAAGAGAGATTGGTGATGAAATGAAGCCTTGATCCAGATATACACACTCTATTCTTTGTATCAGACAATGAACTTGGGATTTGAACTGTTTTTATGGTGGAATCAATGATCACATACATGAGGCTTGTTGCCAGTTTTAAGCAGGTTTCGTTCGTGCATATGCTTGGGGAAGGGAACAGGTGTGCTGATTTCATGGCGAACCTCGGTCAAATTTTGGGTTGGGGCACTTTAGTTTTGGAGGAGCCTCTGGAGGGGAATAACCGTCTTCTCATGTGTGATGGGGGGGGGGAGGTGCCGCCACCCGTAGAATCAGATAGGTCTGAGGCTTAGTCTCTCTTACTTCACCGGAAAAAAAAAACAATTACATACATGAGAAATTGACAATTTTTGTTCAAACCATGAATCACAGAAGAATGATGTCTGTAACCACAAGGTTCTAAAGTCGAGCTCTCAGTGTAGAGTCGTCAAAACGGTCTCGTGGGGCGAGACGGGCCAAAATACACCAAAACATGTCCTTGTAGCGGGCGGGCTAAAAAGCCCGCCTATTAGCGGGCTTGGAATGTGGTCGGCCCGCCCCGGCATGCCAAAGTCCGCTGATGGGGCGGGCTAGCCCGCCAATCAATTTTTTCATTGTGTTAATTTTTTTTTTTTTTTAATCACTGTACAATATCTTTCAGGAAAAAAAAAAATCGCTGTACAGACGTACAGTACACTAACACAATAACACTACCTAGTGTTGTATTCCTATAAATCTATAATAATCCTATAAGTTATAACACACTAACATAATTACACAAACTAAAATAACACAAAAAAATATGTATTAAATACTAAATATATATACAAAATATATATGTATTAGCAGGTCGCGGGCTAAATCCGTGACCCGCTTGGACCCGTGACCCAGGCGGGGCGAGCTAAAAAGCCCGCCTCCTGGCGGATCAAAATTTGAAGAACCCGTCCCCTACCTACGACGGTACGGGACGAATCAATCCGCCGGGTAAAATTTATTTTTGACGGCTCTATCTCAGTGGAAGCAAAGTCAGGGCTTCACTCAGAGCGCACTTGAGTAGTGAATATGATTTTTTTCATATTTTTACAAATATGCATTTTTTTTTTTTGGGACATTTATAAAAATTTTATGGATAATAATATTCCAAAGAATCAAAGATGTAACCCAGTCAACTTGAACGATGGAAACTTATAGCTCGAGGCATGACCTGCTTGCCCGACAAAGCTTAGTGGGGGATCGCCTTCTCTTGACCCTAATTAAGGACATATATATATATATATATATATATATATATATATATATATATATATATATATATATAATGTATTTTAGCATTTTACAGCCTCGTATTCTCGAATGTCAATTGTTATATCATGAGCCACGGTCTACTTCATTATGAATCAGGTCAAAATAGATTATGTACTTGCAATTAATACATAAATACTTATTAAAACCAACATATGTATATGTAATTAATATATTATATATTTGCAATTAAAAAAATTACGTACCTGTTATAACTATTACAATAAACTATTACAATTAACATATTATGAACTTACAGTTAATAAATGATATATTTATAATTAACATATTATGTACTTTTAATTTAGAAAAAATGACACTTTTTTACCTGAGTTATATGATTATAGCACTTTTTTCCCCTGATTTATTCATGCATCCACATTTTCCCCCTCAATTATTATAAAAGTGGCGATTTTTTCCCCTTGATATATTAAATGCACATTTCTACCCTTAAAATAAATATTTTATTTATTTCTCTTCTTCAACAAATTATTGCTTATACGTAGGGATGACCACGGTTCGGTTCGAACTGAACCGGACACTATAGCAATCAAATCAAAAATTTTCGGTTATGATTCAGAACCAGAATCCAATATTTGGGTTTCCGTTTATTAAAATCGTGAACTGAAAAAAAAAGGATCCTGAACCGTGAACCGGAGGTTCAAATCGGAACAACTACTAGCATTAGCTTAAAATTAGAATTATAATATTGCAAATAGCGTATGTTCTTTTTTGCATTTATTTGGATTCTTACATATAAGAATATATAACCACGATTTGATTTTGATTTTGAACTGTCAGTTCACGATTTCAGATCCAATTTGAACTGCTGGTTCAAACTTTCTTTTAAAATTTTATTTTTTTATTTTAAAATATTCTAAATTCAACAATTAATGTATTTTATTTTTTCAATTTAGAACATGAACAAGCAATTTCAGTTCGCACTTTTAATAAACTCTAAATATCGGGTTCCGGTTCTAAATTGTCATCATAACCTTTCTATATATTTGGTTGCTATAGTGCCAGTTCGATTTGAACGAAATTGTGGTTACAATTTGTAGGAGAAGAAAAATAAATGAAATATTTATTTTAAGGGTAAATATGTCCATTTAACATATCAGGGGGGAAAAACTGTCACTTAAATAATTCAGGAGATAAAAATGCTATAAGTATATAACACATGGGAAAAAAGTGCTATAAGTATATAACACAAGGAGAAAAAAAATGCTATTTTCCCTTTAATTTATTTATAAATATATAATCAATTAGCTAAAGATATATAATATGTTAACTATATTTACTTGATCTGAATATGGTTTTGGACTAGAGTTCACAAATCACAGCGTAAGGTAAAGCATTGTTCAATGTTCATGGTATAATTTGGTATCTAATGTCCTTTAATTTTGGTCCTAGGTCAAGCCCACCTATACATTTCTACCCCATTATGCATGCCTTTCTTAGCTTGCAGTACATATTGTTGTCCAAACATGGGATTCAAAGAATCCATTAAAGTCAGATTCAAGGCCTCCAATACAGGATGGATCAGACTATCGGAGTTCCCTCCGTTCACACTTTTAAGGCAACCTAAGAGCATCTCCCGTAGTTGTAGTTTTTGAAGAGTTTTTGTAAATGTGACTAAGAAAAAGAATATGTGAGGAAAGAGAAAAAGAAAAAGAAAAAAAAAAAAAACGAAGTTGAAAACCAAAAACAAAAAAGAAGAGCGTTATTAACGCGCACTGCTAAGCGTTGTGTTGCGCTCCACGCGAGACGGGCGTGAAATGCAATTTTTCTTGGTGGGTCCCACAATTCTACCAAAAATCAATGCATTGTATTCTCTCTCCCCCACATAAGTCACTGACTCTATTACAATGTAGTGTCTGTTCATAACTATTTTCTCAACAGAATAAAAGCCAATATCGCCTCTACTGAAGAGTTGAACCCACAACTTCCCTTATAAGAGAAAACTTGGTGCCATTGGACCACCAAGATACATTGATGAGGATGCTCTAATTGGCTTACCCAAAGGGCACTCCAGTTATGTATCTATCAATCATATATATGAAAACGATAAACAAGTCTTGTATGATCCAGTTCAGCTAATAGGAAAGAAACAAACACTAACAATTGATATGTTATTATTGGAGAGTGCGTGATTTGTTCCATTTGTAAGGCTGTCCAAGTTGGACCGTGTTGGATGGCTTTCCCATATAACTTCCCCAACTTCCCCCACTAAGGTGTGAACTACTAGAAAATCAAATTTCAATCAAAGAATAGATTACACATTATGAAATTTTTACCATGTGAATTGAAGTTGTGTATAGTACGCGGTCTAATAATAATTGTGCCCATTTTGTTGAAAATTGGACAATTAATAAGAATTATCCCAAAGATTATGATGGTAAGGTTCTCCACTATAAATGTTACATGTTCGACTGTATTAGTTTGAGTCAGTTAGCTATGAATGAACAATTTAGACTGATTTATCTACTTGTGGTCGTTTGCTAGATAGGGTTACAAGGTGATGCTTACTGATACGATTTCACATCGACTCCACAAGAGATTGTGAAGTGGTACTAAAGTTGGGGCTAAACCTTTATTCATGAGTTATCTTTCGTGGTGGGGTTAGGGTCTTCACTTGAGTGCCGTATCAATTGGTGCTCTACTTGAGAGGTCGGAGTATGGTGACCTAGGAAAGGACTACCTGGTTCCTTATAAGGTCCAGAGTGAAACCATCCAAAAAGGAGTTGTTGTCTGCTTTTGTGAACGTCAACTTAAGCTAGCTTTTGTGGTGGTGGTAGTTTTTTATTATTATTATTATTTTTTTTATGTGGGGGGGCTGAAAAGTTTGAAAGGCAAGAAGGAAGTGAGGAAAACCAAACCCTTACTTGAACTAGATTGAGAGTCAGAAGCCCTTTCAATTTCAAAAGACATGATGTGTGTATAGAAATAGTACTAAAAGAACTAATTATATGGAAGCTACTTGACAATAATGTAACTGATATATTCCTTAACAAAACACAATACACAGTCCATACAATACTATGATGATGATGATGATCAATAAGCAATATGAAGCTGACAAATTTTCCCCATTACAAAAGGGTTATTACATCATAAAAAGCTTGTTAATTAGGTTGTTAATTATAAAGTTTAGCACAGATTAGAAGAAAATTTGCCAGCTTCATGACTCTTAATTAGCTAATCAACAAACAACCCTTATTTTAATTTGCACAAAATTAAACCAAATATGCATTCATTCATGCTCACCACCTAGCAATTGCTCCATAACAAACCACTCCCAATCAACAATTTCCATAAAAGGAAACTCATCAATGTTGAGAATTTTTTGTTACCGAGCAAATGCCTGGGCGAACGTACCTTTTAACCACCAAAAAAACTAAAACTCCATTCATCACTCCCCAAGAAATTCTTACTTACTCTAAAAGTTTGCACCTGATCGACTGATCTGTATGATCTTAGAGTAGGTAAGAATTTCCCGATTTGGAGTGAGTTTCTTCCTCGTCGGTCATCATCAACTCCTCCTTTTCATCCTCGAAGCCCTCGAGGGAGGGGTGGGGGGAGTGGCCTTTCCCAAAAGATCTAATGTGGTCTTTGAGGGATCTCTTGTGCTTGAAGTCTGAACCACAGGTGCAGTACCAGAGCTTGCCACAGTTCTTCTCATGGGTCCTCCAATCCCCTTTGACAGCAAAGGTTTTGCCACATTTCCTGCAGGTAAAGGGCTTAGACCCATGCTTCCTTTTGTAGTGTGTCTGCAGGGTTCTGAAGTCCTTCAATGGCTTGGCTCTTGGGTGGTTTATGTTGTTCTTGCACCCTGCTGCGCAGCAATAGCATGGCAGCCTTAGCATTGCTGCTGGCTGTGTTCCTCTCAGGGATTCTGGTCCCTTCCTGAATTCTGAACCATGTCCCCACATATGCATCTATTCATAAACACACAACCATCAGTTACTTTTGACGGACTCTAAGCAACACGTGAATAATAGTCTTTTTTTGGGTAATGACAGAAACTCTCAAGATCAGTCACTATTCGAGTGTGTGTATTGGGTAAACCCGCCTTGTAACCCTAATTAGCAAAAAATTACAAGGAGGCAGCTTAAGTGGTTGCCCATAGCTGATCAAGCTCATATCTACGATACTTTTAACATAATTTAAACATTGTGGAATTTGAACATTTTGGATAAGAATTTGATGTTTATGTCTTTTCATAAAAATATAAAGTAAAAAAGATAGGAAAAAAAAGGGAGAAAGATATTATCCGTTCAAAAGAACTTGAAGTGATATTTGAAACTTTCTATTTTAATTTTTTTTAAATCATTATGAACGAAGATAATAAGAGTTATTACTTAAATTTGAGATCTGCGTTTAGGATTAAAAGTTATACTTTTTTTTTTTTGGTTGGAAAAAGGAAATAATTACAAAATTCCATCATAATCTTGTCCCCTTGATGAGTAGTATTATGAACAATCATTTCATTAGTCTCGCCCACGTATTTATACTTTACACCTTTATAAAGCCTCAAAATTATTGTTCATGATTTGATCAAAATAAGATGATTTTATACAATTTCCTCATTAACTTTATATTAAAAGCCGGAATTATTGAAAAAAAAAAAACCCTTAATTCTTTTCCTTTGGAAACATATAAATGACCAAGAAAATTATTAAAAAAAATTATTTTAATTCTTATGATTAGTATATGAAAACATTTATTTATGAGTAAAAAAAAAGAAGTTTTAAAGTGTTAATTTGGAGCTGATATATGAATTGTGCCCAGTACAGCAAGCAATTAAGCACTTTATCCTTACAATATCTGGTGCAATAAGGTTTAAGTGCCCACACAGACTGACTTACTCAATGGTTCAGTAAGCAGTATTTGGGAGATCGAAGAAACCAAGGTTCGAATATTGACGGCGACAGTGTGGGGATTATGTTCAAAGTGGACAGATCCCTGGTGCGTACCAGGTGATTTACATCGTCCCAAATGGTCTATTGTGCGTGATCCTATAGGGTATAGGGTAGAATAGAATATAATTGGTAAATTAATAGGATTCATCATATGATCATCACTTACCTGCATATTGTTATACCTATTGAAGGTTTTGCTGCAAATGTTACAAGCAAACTGCATAGGGCCAACAAGAATCTGGGTGGGTGTGGGGATCCAAAACCTACTCTCACTGTTGAACTTGCATCCATTATCGCCATCAACAACCACCGCCCTTCTTCTCTTCTTCACGCTCTCTTCCTCCTCCGCCTTGAAAACGTTGATGGGTTTAGCCTCCTCGCCCCCAGAATCCGGCAGCCCTATATGCAAAGCCACCGCCACTTTCTCCTCCTCCTCCTCCTCATCATCATCCCTTTCTTCCTCCTTGACGCCGCCGCCTTTCGCCTCCATCAGCTTGCTCAGAAGCGGCAAGCATTGGAGGGTTTCTTCATCATGATCGTCCACTCTTTCCTGCAGTTGATGTGGAGTTTCAATTACTGCTGGGAATTTCAAGAAGCTCATGGTGTCGTTTTTGTTACCAGAGGGTTGATGAATAAGAAGAAGTTGTGGTGAAATTGCAGATGAAGAAGAAGAAGAAGAAGATGATGATGGCTTGAGCCATTCAATGAAGGTTGGAGCTTGAAAACACAGATTGAGACCTGCAGCTTGGATATGGCAGTTTCTTATACCCATATTTGGGAGAGAAGAGAAGAGGAGAAAACCCAAAAAAAAAAAAAACTGAAAAAGAAAGAAACCCAACAAGTCTTGTAATTTGTCCAAGTCATTCCACTTAAATGGTTTGTATGTAGACTTTATGTAGGAAAGTTTTGCACTTAAGGTTGATTTATGAATAGGTATTTTGTTTGATTTGCCTTTTTAGAACTTTTTGTTCCTTTTCCCCTTGAGTTATTGCACTCAAAAGGGGAGGTATGTAAGGAGGAATTGAATTGAAGGGTATACTAATTAGTGCTGTGGTGGGGTTAAGGAATTGAAAATGACATGCAAAATGTGGTTTCACTATTATTTTTATTTTAAAATAAAGAAAAAGAAAAAGAGAATCCTAGAATAGTTTTCTATATATTATTCATAATTTCATCCATTTTAATTTGGACAACTTCTATTTTCAATAATTATAAAATTAATAACTCCGTTCTTAAAATTTTTCAATAATTATAAAATTAATACCATATTTTTTTTTTTTACTAAAACCTTCAACCATTAATGAATCCTGATAAACGACTGAAATCAATCCTCACTTTTTATAGGAGGACTATGCTTTCATTTGATCCTCCCCACCCCCCATATATATATATATATATATATATATATATATATATATATATATATATATATATATATATATATATACATTTCTAATCAAGTGAGAACAAGGTGTTAGGTGAGAACGTGTGGTCTTTTGTTGTCCCTTGATTTTGGGTAATCTAAGGGTTGATATTTACTGTGCAATATGTCTAGTTATTTGCATAGTGCAATATGTATAGTTGTTTGCATTGTGCAAATAGTGAATTGCACGGATGTAATCATGGCCGTGCAAAATCAAACATTCAATTGTGTGGCCTTTTGTTCGCCCTTGATTTTGGGTGATCTAAGGGTTGATATTTACTGTGCAATATGTCTAATTATTTGCACTGCGCAATATGTATAGTTGTTTGCACTGAGCAAATAATGAATTACACGGATCTAATCATGGCGGTGCAAAACTAAACATTCACTGGTGTAGATTTGACCACACATTCTCACCTAACACCTTGTTCTCACCAGATTGGGGACACACACACACACACACACACACACACACACACACACACACACACACACACACACACACACACACATATATATATATATATATATATATATATATAGACACACACACACACACGGTGCACGAAAAAAGTCAACCCAGGACGCGGTGCACAACGTGTGTGCATTGTGTTTGCAGTGCATTGCGTGTGTGCATTGTGTTTGCAGTGCACTACATGTGTTCATTGTATTATAGATGACATGCACCGTCTACTAATCTAGATAAATGGCTCATATTGGTTCTCGTGAACATAACTAAACAAGTTATGCATAGTGTTACCTCATAGACATATAATATAACAAAAAAATTAAATTACAATATTTTAGATGTTGAATATATGTGTACAAATACAATACTCTTAAACAAATAACGATAAAATACATCAATTAAACAAAATTGTGGATTATTTAACTAAGCAGTACCATCGGTCCACCACGAGCAGGATATGTATGTAATCAAGCATCCCTCACTTACTGTGATCAGGTTGCTTAAGAAGGATTTGAATGACACACCTTACTTTAGATGAGTGACATGTTCTGTATAACTGTACCTTAATACTTTGAAGTGATCCCTCTTCTAAAAAAAACATTAATAAAATTTTGTTAACATGTACCTAAAATTGCTCATAATGATACTTGGACCATATTTTTAAAAGATAAGATTGCGGAGTAACCTTTTGGCCTAAAAAGATAACAACATATTATATAATAGAATATCAAGACCATACATGTCCACGTACATATATAATTAATTAATTATTTAATTTATTGGATAGAAAAATTTTGATTTCGTATTATAGTTCTTATTATAGGAATTGATTACATCACACAATCTATCTATATAGTAATGTAGCTACGACCCATTCATCATGTCATCTAGCTCCCCATAAGGTTTGCACCTGTTGCTAAGAGCATAATTGAACTTCGATTAATACATTAATTTTTATTATTTTAATCTTAAAAAAAAAAAAACCGACAAAGATATCATGAATGCGGATTTTCAGGAGATTAAAAAGATGCTTTTTATTTTTCTCGCATTGTCACTTGTCCATCGGTCTCTTAACATTTCCATTTGTACATTATTGCCATTTGCCACTGTCCATGATTCTCGATCTCTTTCAAGTATTGGTATATAATTCATGACCACCCATGCATATACGTACCTATATGTTTTCATTATTGTAAGTTCGGCCTATTTTGCTCTTACTTCCGGGATGGTAACAATGTGATCAATAATTATATGCAAAAGCAAAATGCAGAGAGAATATGGAGAAAGTAGAAGAGATAAAAATGTCAGCCGAGCCTTTTCCATTAATAACTGTTATATATATACATTACTGATCTCAACCGTACATAAACATAAATATAAGAAAAGTAAAAAGGTGGGATAATGGCCACAAACTGCAAAGATATTTATAACATTCATAAATATTTTACTAAAATCGAAACCCGCCTCTACATAAATAGGGAGTATGGGACGGTTGGCCTAGCAGAACCTGTTCTGATGGCTCTAATAACAAAAGAGTGAGCAAGGCAAGGTGGATTAGTTGGCCAATAACAAAAGAGTGAGCAAGGCAAGGTGGATTAGTTGGCCAACCAAACGGCGTCTAAGCATGTGCTCCATCTCAACTAAAAGTCTAAGTTGATAGTTGGATTTCACATTAATGATTATATGCTCAACATTCCTAACTTGTATCATTCGTCTCAAGGAAAAAAAACTCCGAATATTAAAAAACTTGTGTTGGAAAATTAGTTAAATTAGCATTTATAAAGTGATATTTTGAGGTATAATTTTGAGTCAGGTTCACTCCCTATTCCGATCCGATAGAGTCAAAGTGGATTTATATTTTCCTAGTGGAGAGGATAAATTTGATATATTACGGCATCACCAACTCTGATCTTCTCTCCTTTTCTCTTCACATCACGATACAATATCTTCCCCTATTTTATCTCCTACTCTTCTCCCCTCTTCTCTCCTTTTTTTGTGGGCTCTAGTGTACTCCTCCACGCTCATACACATCATCTATTATTTAATATTTAGAATCGAATATAAAATTTTAAATATTAAATATACCAACCATTAATATAATTAACAAATTTTAAAATCAATTTAGAATTAGAAATTATATGAGCAGCGGCAGTTAGGGCCTATCTTGCTAGGAAGAGGGTTACGCCAGGGTGACCCATTATCACCTTATCTGTTCCTGCTAGTGGTTGAAGGGCTGAATGTTATGATAGACAGATATATGAGTATAGGCCGGTTACATGGTGTTCTTGTTGCCCAGGGAGCACCACCGATATCTCGTTTGCTTTTTGCAGATGATTGCTTCCTGTTTCTGCGGGCGAATGAAGACGAGACTGCATGTATGAAGTATGTGTTAGACACCTATTCGAAGGCATCCGGACATATGATTAATTATGATAAATCTGTGATATGTTTCTCCAGCAATGCTAAGCCTGCCCAGCGGAATATGGTCACTCAGGTGTTGGGAGTGATTGAGGGGAATACAGCGGGGAAGTATCTTGGTCTGCCGTCAATAGTAAGCCGGAGGAAAAAAATAGATTCTGGTTTTTTTGAAGGACAGGATTCTAGCCAAGGTGAGAACATGGAATGCAAGGTTCTTGTCAAAGGCTGAGAGAGAGGTGCTTCTTAAGAATGTCATTCAGGCAATGCCAAGCTATGCGATGATGGTTTTCCTGTTGCCGAGAGGAACCTGTAGGGATATTTAGACTTTGATGAATGAATACTAGTGAACTGGAACCGTGGGAAGTGGCAAAGGCATACGGTAGAGATCTTGGCAAGGTTTAACGGCCCCAAAGACAGTTGGGGGAATGGGTTTCCGTTTCCTACATGAAACAAATTTGGCACTACTGGGGAAGCATGCTTGGAGGCTGGTGACGAGGCCGAACTCAATGGTGGCACGGGTTTACAAAGCACGGTATTATCCAAATTGCACCAATGATGAAGCGGTGGAAGGGAGCAATCCATCCTTTATTTGGAGGGGTTTGCTTGAGGTTCAATGAGTTGTTCGGGACGGGTGTAGGCGAAGTATTAGAGATGGCCACGACACGGTGATTGGTAAGCATGCATGGTTGCCATGTGTGGATGAGCCTTTGTACGGAGTATTTTTAACGCCCGGGATGCCAGCTTGATTCTGAACATTCCAATATCTTTGCGAAGACTAAGAGATTCGTGGTACTGGTATTGGGAAGCGAGGGGCGAGTATACTGTTAAGTCATGTTATAAACGGTTGAAGGGCGAGTCGCTAGATGCGCGGCCGTGGTCTCGGATATAGAATTTGCAAGTTCCGCCAATGGTCAAGCACTTTTGCTGGCAGTTGGCTTCTTCTTTTTTGCCTACTAATGATGCTCTACAAGCAAAGAATATTCACTGCGCTTTGGTGTGTCATATGTGCAGGACGGTGCCCGAGAGTGCTTATCATATGTTTATAGAATGCAGTGCAGCGGTTCATGCCTGGACCCTCACGGGTGTGCCGACCATGGGGGTAGCGCATGGTAATGTTGTTGATTGGTTTTTTGCTTTATTGTCTGGTTTGCATGGTTATCTAGTAGCAAAGTTTGTTATGGTCTGTTGGGGTTTGTAGCAAAGCCGTAATGAAAGTGTTTGGAACAATGTTGCTTTTAATATGGAGATGGTGGTGCACCGTGCACTCAGTTTCTGGACTAGTTGGATGAGTGTAAATTCACACGACCGAACAGGCCAACCTTCCGCAGGGAGTGATGAGTGGAAACGGCCCGAGGCAGGGCGCCTTAAACTGAACACGGATGCTTCTGTGCTACCAGGCTCCAACTCTATGGGGTTGGGGTGGGTGCTACGAGATCATGCAGGTTTTTTTTTTAGCTGCGAAGAATGTGTACCTGGAAGGAACATATACGGTCAATGAGGCAGAGACAATATGTTTGAGGGAGGCACTGAGTTGGCTGAAAGACACAGGTATGGGATGCG